AAAGAAAAAAAATTAGATGATTAACTTTTTAAGACTAGTCTAAGCAATTTATGCAACCGGCCCCGGGTGGGTCCTTAAATCTGATTGGCTGATACTGATAAGAGTGCGATATTAGAGTGATAACAGAACTCCTCCAACTGTTTCACCGTTTATCACTCTGCTTCTTGTATTTATTTTTCTTAGCGAGTGTCATGGCGGTGCCCCAAATCCACTGTTCATGGAATGTAGTTTTAAGAGTTTTTTTAGGGAATAATGTACTTGTTTAGACTTCAAATATGCGGTTTGTTAATAAAGATAATGTCTATTTGAAAATTTGTGTTGACGTTTTTGGAGATGTGAGCTTTAGGGCATCAGCGGGCGTTCAACGCTCATGAACCCGTCGAGAGCAGCCTCACCTCGGCCAGATCTTCTGGAATTTGCCGCTGGCTCCTGATGTCTCTATAGTGGTGGTTAAACATGAAATATTATTCGTTTTGGGTAAATCTAACCGGCAGTCTTTGGTCTCATTAATCTATTATTTGTTCCAGAGCAAATTGGGTTTTTTTTGGCTGAGGGCAAAATCTCATCTCGTTATATTTTATGTAACTTTAATGCTGTATGTTAGAGCGCGAGAAGGGTCTTTGTACTTCAGACTGAATTGTCTAGCAACTTTTATTATGGCTGTTGTTTAGTATTATTCAATAAATAATATTTTATATAGTAGAATTTAGTATTGGGAAAGAGTGTGTGTGTTCGTGATTGTGATTTTAGTGACATTGTTCCACCATTATGGCGACAAGAGACTGTTTTACGAGTCAGCGGTAAGGACTTTTATTTTGAAAGAGACTGAAACAGCTTGTAAGACACTGTTAAGTGTTAAAAAAATGCACTGAGCAGCGCTGTCATTGGAAATCACAGATGAAAGGATAGTACGACAAAATATCGCTTTCCTCAGCGGACATTCAGACTAATGTTTTATTGTGAATATGAGATTGAGCTGAAGAATGAATGCTGTATCAGATGCAGGTAATCACACTTGCTCAGTCCATCTCTCTCTCATTATACTCTACTTCACATAATACAGTGAGCTTTTAATACAGTAAGTTAATACAATAAGCTTTCGATTAAGCAACTCAACATTCCTTCGTTACTAGTTCTAAAGTGACGTTTTCGAATTAGTAACGGAGGCTTGAGCTCAGCTGTTAAACTGTCAAACTGAGATTTGAATCTGTGGCGGAAGGAAGTAGTTCTGCACAAAAGAGAGTTTTAAAAAGACACTCCGTTGTTGTTTTTCTTATCTGTTTACACACTCGTGTCGTCGAACTGTTGTATAAACGCAATATCACACTCATAGATGTGAGATATGGCTGTATATTTGCACGCTGTGATTACCTGCGGCCTATGGCCGAATCACAGCCGTGCTGATTTAGAGCCATATCTCACATTTGCGAGTGTGATATTGCTCATATATAATACCTTTAACTCAAGAGACATAGCCTATACAAAATTCTGTCCAGAAAAAGAATTCAGAACTTAGAATTTAGAACTTTTTTTTCATTTCAGCTAGTTACCATACCAACATTATAATGTTCATTTAGTTTAACTTGATGTACTAAAATAACTAAAAGTAAAAGTGAAATAAACATGAATAAAAGCTCTACAGACAATTTAAAAAAAAACTAATAAAAGTGGCAAAAACACACAACAAAATTATTAAAACTTTAAGTAAAATGAAAATGGTTTTAAAATGAAAACTAGCCTAATTCAAAATTTAAATAAAAACTATAATAATATCCCAATTATATTAAAATAACACTGGGCAAAACTAGCAATATCCATTATCAAATCATATGTTGTTCTGTTGAATTATATTTATTGAATTATCATATTCACTTTTAGAAAGACAAGTTTTATTTAAAAGTTCAATAAATGCATGAAGTTCCTAAAGTGGTGACGGAGTAATCTCAATATTGACCAAAATAATTGTGATTATGATTTTTGCCATAATTGGGCATCGGGTTCAGGGCTATGATGTAAATTAAAGGCTATAACATGTGACAAATTCCTGTTTAAATAGGAAATATGTCAACACAGGTAAGAAAACTTTTTTTTTTCATTCAATGTTTAAGAAAAAAAACATGGACTCAATAAAGACCCCATCTGCTGACTTTTGGAAAATTCTTGTAGATTTGCACAATTATACGGAAGTTCTAAGCGGCCATGCATTATTATTTTTTTCCTTCTTGTTTTCTCTTTATAACGACTTATTTTCTCGGTATATTGACATAACGAGAGTTGTTTTCTCGTTATAACGACTTATTTTCTCGTTATATCGACATAACGAGAGTTATGTCGAGATCACGAGAAAATTAAGTCGTTATAACGAGAAAACAACTCTCGTTATGTCGATATAACGAGAAAATTAAGTCGTTATAACGAGAAAACAACTCTCGTTATGTCGATATAACGAGAAAATTAAGTCGTTATAACGAGAAAACAACTCTCGTTATGTCGATATAACGAGAAAATTAAGTCGTTATAACGAGAAAACAACTCTCGTTATGTCGATATAACGAAGAAAATAAGTCGTTATAACGAGAAAACAACTCTCGTTATGTCGATATAACGAGAAAATAAGTCGTTATAACGAGAAAACAAGAAGGGGAAAAAAAATAATGTATGTCCCCTTAGAACTTCCGTACAATTATGCTTTTAGGAAAACACATTTTACTGTTATATCCATAAACTCATAACAGATGCTTAATACATAACAATAAAATCTAAAAAAAAATCACTTCCACTGTAATTTATAAATTTTTTACTATTTATTCTTCATTCTGTATACATTTGTATTGCTTTTGAGAAATCTTGTTGAAGCTAACTCTTGCCACCATGTTAGGGTGTTGTGAGTGGTTGCCAGGGCATTGCCATGTGGTTTTTAGGGTGTTGTGGTTGGTTTCTAGGTGGTTGTTTACTGCCTATAAGTCAGAAGAGCTCAAAAGTCTCTCCTTCAATGTAAGAAAAAATCGTCTATTTTTGTCTATAGTATCATGGTCAGATGGCATCATGGTGTTTTATTCTGGAATGCTCTCATATTAAACACCATCACTGTTTAATCTCACAGTTTGTGGCATTTTTTCCCAATTCACCTTTGCCCACAGTCTCGTGTATTGTGAGGTCGGACCAATGCCTTTTAAAAATATTCTTTTGTCAGCCGCCCTAGTTTAGTTTGCTTTATCCGTTAAGTCTAATCTGCATTCAAATCTCCCCATTAGAATTAAAAACATGTCTGGAAATATTATGGAGATATTATTACAGGAAACCAGCTTTCAGATGATAGACTGATAGTATATATCTGCAATGCACAGAATTCAGAAAATCATCTTTGCCTGTTTAAATGTGAAACAGCTGTGCTCTGGCAGATTTACTATATTATATAACCCTATGTATTTGGCCTAAGTCACAGGATTTTCATTAACACGCAGAGCCAAAAATTCCAACAGGAAAAATGCAACAAATATGGAGACTCAGTAAATATACAAAAGTATAGTGATAGTGATGTGGCTCATACTTTATTGTACTTCATTGTTGAGTGGCATATACTAATTAGCCTGCATGAAGATGTACATGTGAAATAAACAATGCAAGAAAACCAGTTGTACATATGTACAGTACTATCCTCATAAATACATGAATACAGCTCTATCCATCTCCATGACAACGAAAGACAGCAATGGTCACATTGTTTTGTATAAATAAAGAAAGCACACATAAATACACAGTGTGATGTAATGGGTGGCTCCATATAGCTGTTAATGCAGCACAACTGAACATATGCTGCATTTAACTGAATCAGTATATGTCAAGCTTTCAGTGACTAGTGTTTTATTGAACAACGAAACAGTTTGTCTTTGTCACGTCAGCCTATGTGTGATATTTACAGTTTGAACAGTAGAAAAGAAATACAGCAGACAGCTGAGGTCCTCCTTTGCACTATAAATAGAAATAAATATGTAAAAAAGTATTTTTTGTATGAAGATATAGGTTTAATCAAATGTTAGCCAAGAAGTATTTTTGTCATTTAAGTTACTAATTTTTTTAAATAAAGTAAATAGTAGTGCAGTATAAACACAGTAATACAATAGGAAAAAAAGGTATTTTCTGTAGTACTTTAAACATTTTAATTTTAATAATTTTGAATATGTACAGTGGGTTTAGAAAATAATCACACCCCTTTAAAATAATCACATTTTGTTGCTTTGCAGTCTGAAAGCTGGACACAGTTTTTGTTTTATCCAGCTGTATTTACTAAGTGCAACTTATTACATCCAAGTGAAAGATATAACACAGTGTCAGAAAAAATAAAAACTGAATCAGATTACAGCTGGATAAAACAACAATTATGTCCATCTTCATTTCAGGCTACAAAGCAACAAAATGTGATTATTTAAAGGTGGGTGATTCTTTTCTATACCCGCTGTAAGTTTTATTTAAATGCTGGTTAAAATTGATGACGTTAAAAGTTTAGGCAATAATTATGTAATTTCAGTTCATAATGTCATTCAAACCCTAATCAGCTTTGTGTTTGTAAACACATGGGCGGAGTCACCACTAGGAAAACCTGTGATTGGATGAAGGCATTTGTTGTTCGTTGGTTGTCACTGTGTTGCCAGTCGCAGTGTGGCTGACCTTTTAAAAGTCTAGGTAACATCAAAACCTACCCTGTTTGCTTTCTGAATGCCCATGCCTGATCTTATTGTGAACAACTTATTATAGTCTCTTAATAAAATGCAACAGATCGTAATGTGAGTTTGCATTTGATTGTGGAGGGGCAGTATTTAAGTGCACTAAATGACAAGTCCGCCATACATCACCAGAGAGAAGTCTGTCCAAGTTGAAAAATTTGGAAGTGCATTTAAAAACTTTAGGGATGCAATGAAAATGTATCAAATATAGTTTTTTTACTTAATAAAGGGATAGGCCTACTTTAAACTTCATGTGTGTGTATGTATGTATGTGTGTATATACAGTGGGTACGGAAAGTATTCAGACCCCCTTACATTTTTCACTCTTTGTTACTCGGGACTTTTATTTTGAAATGTATACGCTTTACTATTGTACATATTACAACACCATAAAGTTAACATTGTCTCAATTCATCAAAATTAAATCATAAGCATTTTTTTTGGCATAAATGTATGGCATTTATTGATTGCAATCGGTTTTAAACTGTGCAACAACACCGCATTTCTACTTTGAAACGTGCAGCACTTATTTAATAAATTCATAGTCTTTAGAAGTTTAATAATTACATTAAGCTGTATAATTGCATAATTCCTATTTTTCCATCCCCAAATTTAAGACCCCATTTAACTGGCTGTTTGCTATACAATTTAAGATATGACCTTCATTAAACTGAATTTTTAAAGATTTTTAAGGACCCTCAAAGACCTTTTTATTCGCACACATGCTCCTAAATACATTTTATGATTCACACACATCTATTTTTAGTCGCAAATGCCAGTGAAAAGCTCACACTGTAGAGCCCTAGCTGGCATGGATGAATCGTTCACAATAAGATCAGTAACATGCATTAAGAAAATAGATAGGGTGAATTAAAATTTTATGCCGTCTTTAAAGCGAAGCTTATAAAGTGCTCAAACAATAATTTATAATAAAAATGCAACTCTATTACAAAAAAAATGAATGATTAATCCTCTCCAATCCTCCATCTCATGGCAAACTCATGAATAGTTTAGGTGATCTCTTCAGGTATTTGCCCCGGTATCCTAAAACTAGTCTGGTCCAGTGTGCTCCTCGGTGTAGCCATGTGGTAGCTGCATCTAACTCCGTCCCTGTCACTTCTCCTGTGCAAAAAATGAAAAAAGTCCTGATGTCCTGAACGTTCGTGGCCTAACGCCGAGGGCCGCACCGGTCTGCCAGCTGATCGGCAACACAAGAGCATCTTACACAACTCCTCCCTGATCTGACGGTTGAGCAGGCCGTAAAAAAATGGGTTTACTGCGAATGTCGAATATGCCAGCCATGTGACCGGTCCTTCAGCTTCTTCAGAGGCACTATGGGAGAATCCCAGTGACAAATGCAGGTGGAAGGCAAAGTAAGGCAGCCAGCAGAGCAGGAACTGACCCACGATGATAGCTAAAGTAAGAGCCGCTTTCCCACCAACCAGTCTCCTTTTCCTGCGAGGGACTTGATTTCTGCGGACGCTCGTGCTGGTGGTGATGATCGTGGTCTGGCTGTTGACGGAATCAGACCGATGCTTCGGATGACGGGTCGCCATCGTCCAGCTCGGGATCGGGCCTCTTTCCCGTGCAGCCGTGTGGGCAACTTTATAGACGTTCCCATAGACGGCAATAATAATAGCAGCTGGAACGCAAAAGCAAACCGTGCAGAACAAAATAGCAAATACTCTCCGGTGTCCGCTGTGGCTCCAATGAAGAGAGCAATGGGTGGCGGCAATGGAGCTTCTACTTCCATAACTGGGCCATCCGAAGACGGTAGCAAGTCCTAGCAAAGTAGACGCCACCCAGACAAATCCCATCACGGCTGCGGATAGCCAAGGCGTTATTTTAGCCTCGTACCTCATGGGATGCACAATGTAGAAGTAGCGTTCGATGCTAATCACAGTAACCGTAAAGATAGAGGCAGATATCAGAAAGGCATTGAGGAATATGTACATCCTGCATTCGAGTACAGAAAAGACGATGCCGGCGAAAAAGGGCGAGCTGCAGATGATGCCGAGTGGCATTAGCAGAGCGGCACACAGCAAATCCACGATGCAGAGGTGACACACCAAACTGAACTTGCGGAGATGTGGCACTTTCACCACAACGGCAAGCACTCCACTATTGGCCAAGAGCGCAATTGCATTAAGAGTCACCATGACCACAAGGCCCGACATGTCTCGTAAACGCGATTGCGGATTGGACATGCTCCCTAACTGCATGCTGGGAGCCAGATGCATTGGGTGGCCATGACTCAATGTCTCATTAAGTTCAGTTTCGTTAAGCTCTGCTGGTGGAGGTAATCCAGATGCCTCCATTGTTTACAGTGTGGTGCTCCAAACACAAAGCAGAAATGCAGACTTCTCCATCTTCCACCAGTCAGAAATGGGGACTCATTGGCTGGAGGTCAAAGGTCAGCCCTGTTGAAAGTATAATATAAAACACAAAAATGAGTATACTACAGCTGAACACACGCAGAACAACAAGTTGCCAAATTTAAAAGGTGCATTAAGCAGTTTTCGCATATTTGTATGTTTTCTACTTTATTTACTGTCCTGTTTGGAGATCACATGTGCTTTTTAATTGTTATTAATTAATATCATAATTATATACTGTAGTATTATAAAATAAATAATACTATAATTAGAAAGATTTTAAAAAATACATACTCTATAAATCAAATTAATTAAAAAAATTTGTGTGTATGTATGTGTGTGTGTTTGTGTACTGCTAGTTGATCAAACAGTTTTAAAATAAAATAAATATTAAAATGAAAATAAATAAGTAAGATTAAAGTAAAAAATAATAGAATATAGTTATGGAAAACAGGTGCTTTACAGTGCACTTTACAGAGATGATACTTTTTGTGCATATACTGTAGATATACTGTAAGTTTTAAAATAAAATCTTATAGTGTGTGGGACTTTTTGTATTTTGTCCATGTTTGGTCTTTCAAAAAATCATCTAGGAATGTTTTTGATTATGTTCAGGCCCTCGTACAACACAATACAATACAATACTACAGCAGTACCATGGTTTACTGATGTGTAAGATGGCAACAACTATATCAAAAAATACCATAGTATTACCATAATGCCGGTGTCCAAACACATGATATTACCATGGCATCATATGCAAAAAAACAAACAAAAAAAAAACTACTTTTTGTGAGGGAAGGTATTAGCAACATTTCTAAATCACCAGGCTATTTTGATGTTTTGTGGACATGTGGCTTAGCACTGAGAAAGCGAGGGAGGCTTGATCAGTTCGAATAATTCATGGTGCTCTATTCATGGTGCTCGTGGTGCTCTAACCTTTTGAAGCGGAGTATAATGAGCTCACTTGTTTGGCTGCAGCTGCTGGGGTTTCTCTGGCATTAGCGTTAGCGTGAGCTCACTGTCACCTGCACAGTACTACAATGCACTCATGCCACAGATGTCACGATACACATATAACCACTCTCACACAGACACAGACATCATCTCACTGATGTCATTTACTGGAGAGTCACTCTAATGCCCAGAAAACTTCTCATAGCTTTAACAATTAGACCAGTAAGTCTTGAGGTGATGTATGTAATTTAGGGACAAATTAAAGTTAGCCAATATGTATAAATATACGTAGGTAGGTGTGTATATATTTATATTTGAACTTTCTATTTATAAAAGATTTCAGAAAAATATTAAGCAGCACAAATGTTTTCAACATTGATAATAATCATAAATGTTTCCTGAGCAGCAAATCAGCATATTAGAATGATTTCTGAAGGGCATATCAAGTGACATTGAAGACTGGAGTAATAATGCTGAAAATTCAGCTCCGCATCACAAAAATATATTACATTTTTAAATATATTCAAATAGAGAACAGTTATTTAAAACGAATAATATTTCACAATATATTACTATTTTTACTGTAAACTTTTAATTTAAAAAATGGTGAGCCTGGTGAATTGTTTGAAAAAAGTTTTAGTACTAAAGACAACACAAATTCACTGTAAATTTTGCTGTATTTTTACAGTGTCAATAATTCTTTAGTGTTGTTTGAAAATCTTTTGAAACTGATCAGCCAAGATTTATTATGACCGCCACCAGTCATTTCACAATGCCAATAATCGTAATCTCTAATCTACTATAGTCACAGTTTATCAGCACATGTCCATAGGGGCTAGAAAATGAATGCAGAGTAATTTGGCATGAAAATGCACAGCGGCTGTATTACATCACCACCATTACGGCTGCACAGAATGTTCCAGCTTGTTTTAGGTTAATCAGTTCATGATTATGATGGACTGGTAATGCCTTGACCTCGCACTACCTCCATTTTCAGAGCAAAAAATAACTTCAGAGGTGGTTTCTGGGTGAAAAGTGGATGAAATTATGGCAAAACAACAAATAGCACCTCTAGAGTCCCCCACCCCCTGATTCTGACACACAGCTCTGGTAAATCAGTGACTTCCACTTTTAATCCTGTGGCATGTTTTTCGGCCAGTAATCTCTCTGCTCAGCACAGACTGTCTGGTCATCTAATAAACAGATGTGCAGGTTTTTGATTTTGGATTATGAAAGAGGTGTCCTGCTTTTATTATGCACTGTGAACTTTTCATAAACCTGGGAACCAATTTCAGAAATATCAGAACAGGCATCATCATCATCCTCCATCTCATTGTCATTACTCATTTCAAAGCCCTGTGATGTTTCAGGTTGTTGTTCAATTCCGTTCCCACCAACCACACCAATCACTACTCCTGCAGCTACTCCACCTACTTCTGCAGCTACTCCACCTACTCCTGCAGCTACTCCACCTACTCCTGCAGCTACTCCACCTACTCCTGCTGTGACTGCATCTTCCTCATCCCTCACCATCCCATCAGTATTCTTGTTCTGGTTTACAGTAACCATAGGCCCATCACTATGCCTCACATTTTCAGCACCGGCAACACCACTATCATGCACTTCATTAACAGCCCGAGGTTGTACTTCCCCGACATTTGAACCGTTATCACGATCTCCATCATCAACACGCTGTTGTGTATTCTCACTATTCTGAACCTTATGTGGACATGCGACCTTCTTGTGCCCAATGTCTCCACATTCGTAACATTTCATACTTCCGGTACTCGCATATACTAAAAAAGATTTCCCTTCATGCCACAATCTGAAAGAAACATTCAACTCTGGTTCATTCAGAAACATAAACACTTGTCTTCTGAATGATAACACGTGCTTCAAAGCCT